TCCATGCTGCGCTGAGGCCAGTATTGAGGACGTAGGCACTTAGCTAGTGTTAGGTGTCGTTTGGCTCGTGTTTACTTCGTTTCTATATAAAATGTAGTTTGATTTACATCCCTTTTCCTTTATGATATTTGTGTAGTAAGCACTGCCCGTGGCTTAGATTGCTTACATTATATATCATTTGCATTGTTTCGTTGCATTGTGTATCATTTGCGTTCTGCCTTAGAACTACGCTGGTATGATTCCTTGCAAAGGGATATGTAGGCAACCCTTGGGTTCAATCAACTGCATCTGTATTTTGTTTGTTTTCTTAGGTCTTACAGCCTTGTCAAAATGGGTCATCTTCGGTCTTTGACATTCACTCGCGTCATTTCATGACTATTCGAGCTCTGTCAAAGAGGGGCAACTATAGACACCCCATTTTTTACCGCCTTTAAGACTTGGGAACTTTATTCCAAACACCCGATGATAAAAGTTACACTGTGCAACCTTTTGAATTCTTAGCTAAGAAATTTGGATTCAAGCTCTAATCCAAAACCTTATACCCTGTTTTGGACAAACTATTTTAGACCTTAAAACCATCATTTTCAAAATATTTTTCCAAATGTTTCTATAATGTTTCGAGGCTCACATTTCGTCTAAAATATTGCACTTTTCGGTAAACCGAGTAAGGACAAAGTGGAAATAAATGAAAGGGAGTTGAACTCTTTGAAAAATCTTGAAAAACATCTTATTTATAGGTTTGGATTTGAAGGAAATAGGAGGGGGTGCAAGAAAACTAGTTTAGGAAAAGGTTGGGCACCAATTCGTTAAGATAGAAATAAACAGCCTTCACTAAATTAGGCATATCTCTCTGACGACTTAGAATTTAAATGTGAGGCCACCACCATTGGAAATTACACTTCCGGGGCTTCAATCTAGATTCAAGAATCACCTAAAATCGAGTTCGGATGAGGGAGATATGCTCGTTTGAAGTCAGGCTTGAAAAGTTTTTTTTGGACCCAACTGGGTCCATTTAGATCCGGCCACTTAGACCCGGCTGGCTTTCAATAAAGACTTCTCCAGAGTCCCTTTTTAGACCTGGCCTTGCATTATTGGGCCCGGCCGTGGGTTTTTTGGGCTAAGCCGTATGTATTTGGACCCGGTCGGGTCTCAATAGCGAGAAGCAGGACAGTTGGCGGGAATTCGCCAACTATCATTTTTTGAAGATATTTTTGATCAATTTGGCTCAAATTCTGTAAATAGACCCCCTGCATTTACTATTAAAGGTTAGAAGATTTTCCTAAAGACTTTGAAGGGTTTTTGAAAGCTAAGACCATCCATCTTCCTTCCAAAAGCCTCATTGACTTCATATCACCTTTTAGCTATGCATACACAATACATACACCATTGGAGCTTGTTCTTGAAGTTTTTGTTGAATTTTCAAAGCTAATTTCAGAAACTTGAGAGTGTTGGAATCAAGTTTGTTAACTAAGAGCTTACCTCTCTTTTTAAAAGGTATAATTTTGCACCTTCTACTTTTATCTTCTTCTACTCTTTTCCTCTATTTTTCTTGTCTTTATATACTAAATTTTAGAGTTTTAAAAGGCTAAAAAAATGGTTTAGAAGTCCAAAAAATGGAGGGGTTAGCCACCCCTTCTTAGTCTTGCTTACTAGCTTTGTGCCTCCTTACTTTTGGCTTTGCTTTGTGCTCTTTTAACATCATTTTAGCTACTATTTTTTGCATGTACGGGGCTGTTTTAGGGCTGTTTTAATTTATTTAAATAGCTTATGCTTTGAATACTTTGCTTATTGTGTTGTATGTCCTTATGGCTTCGGTTGTTTAGGCCTTAGACACCAAGTCATTCGAGTCAATGGCTTTCTTTACTTAGATTTCATGTAAAGAGTTTCACTTTTGGTAATAATCAACTTCGCATAATCATTTCTGCACCCTCCCTTCTTTCTTGTTTTTCTTTGTTTAAGAGTTGTTTTAAGCGATTGATTGTTATTTAAAGCATGAGAAAGAGACCTCTTATGCTCAATGACTTAATCTCTTCGGAGGTTCATCGTCAAGGCATCGTCTCTCTTTCATGCTAAGGATCACTTCTCGTTTGACATTTCTCTTCATTTAGTGGACTTAAATATCACTTTAGGACAAATGATTAAGAATAGAAAGGTAAATTGGAAAAATACTAATAAAATTGGCTTAAAACCAATGAAACCGACATAAAGAAGACTAATAAAAATTGGTTAGATTTGGCTGGACGTTATGTCGAGTCCATCGTGTCAAGAGTCATCATATATCAATTCATGATGTTTTGATGAATCTTGAGGTGTGTCTACCTTCCTCTTTGAGCTAACTTCATAATATGAAGGAGGTGTGGTCGTTTTTCATTGCATTTATTAACTTTTTTACCAAACATGCTCGAAATCATCAAGCAATCAACTTGCTACCATTGATTGTTTCGGAATCGAATCTGTTGTTCTCTTGAGTTTCTTTATGATAGAGAAGAGCAAAAGGGACAAACAGGGCTTAGAAAGGCTCTGTCGGCACTATTTTCTTCTCAGAGCATAAAAATAATTTTTTGCATGAAAATATGGCACAACTGGCCATATTTAGACCTGGCCAGGCCTCATTAGGAGCTGGCCGAGCTCCAATGTTTAGTAAATAAAGTGTTTTGGTAGAAATAGGAGGCAGTGGCTGAGGGTGAAACAGAGCAGTTGCATAGAAAGCAGACAGAGCAGTTTCTGCAAACAGCCTTCATTGACGCACATTCGATCCTTGTGCATTTTTTATATACATTAATGTTGTAATATTATTGTAGTAATTATTGTTGTAATTATTATTATTGTTCATATTATATTGTTGTAATTAGTGTTGTAATTATTATTGTTATATATCCTTGTTATAATAAATTAGATAGCTTGTTATTTATTTATTCGAAATTGTAATAAGTGGTTGGTTTAGCTGATTCATTCATTTGGTGCTGTAATAGCTAGCGTAAATTCGGACATCTCATTCAGACCCTCTTGTACGAGGGCAAAATATGTAATAATTGTGTATGTCTTCCAACCCCCATTTCTTTCTCCTTTTTATTTACTTGCTTACAATGGTAACATAGAGCATCAAGTTTCCTTAGCATATTTCATGATTCACATATATTCGTTTTACATGCACAAGGGTTCAGCTCATCATTCTAACCAATGTTGCTCGAATATGTGACATATCCCATGTCTTGAATTGAATCATATGCCATGCTAGTAGTCGAACTCATTATTTACATAATGTGTGTATTGCATTAGTCATATTGCATTGTTTAGAAGCATGTATTTTTTATAATTATTTTCCTTTATTTGGCTTTCTTGGAGTACTAGGTGAGTATTTCTTTCTTCATCATATTGCATTGTATGTTTGTCTTGCCATATCAAGCATATTCCATGAGGCTAAATGCTTAAATGATATTCCTATTTGAATGCCGATGGATGAAGGCCTTTTTACTGAAGTTGGAATTATTTGATTAAAATGTAAATACCAGCTTGCTTTTTCAAGTGACATGTATTCAAAACACTTTTTCAAAACAAACATAAAATCAATACATTCCAAAATTTGTGTCTTGGTCTATACTTGTGTGCATCACCTAGTAAAGATAGCATATATAATCGGAATAAGAGCATCTAATGTAAATAAAAATCACATCATGATTAGTAGAGATCGATCTTTGATCGGGTGAGTGGGGTGCTCAATTAATGTTCTTCCCCTCTCATATCTAAGTTCCCGAGCCGAGACACTTTGGTGATGACAAACACATGGCCTTTGGCATGAGTCATGGGTTTCCTAAATTTTTAAAAAATATTTAGGTGGCAATTTTTGGCATTTTGATTCACAGTTGATTTTCTAAAAGATTTGTTAGATTTGTAGTCATTTGTGTTTATCTATTTCACATTGCACTTGTGAAATCAGATTCAGAATCACGGGAGTCCGAACTGTAGGGCTAATCGTATCCGAAAGGAGTACGAAAAACAAGCTACAATTGGTTTCTTTCTTTTTGAATTTTTCCATTGGTTTTGAAATAATTTCTATATTAGGTGTTCTAATATCATTATCATTTAAAATTTATTTTCCTCTAGGAATCTCAAATAATTCTACTAGCTTTGTAGGATTTCTTGTGTCAATTTCCTCTTCTAAAAATGTTGCATCTCTACTTTCCATTACACTACTAGTACCATCACTATGATGAATAGCAAATCTATAACCTTTTGAAATTTCAGGATATCCTATAAAAGCTCATTTTATAGTTTTACCATATAGTTTGTCTCTTTGTTGAGCTGGAATTAATATATGAGCAAAAGAATCCCAAACTTTTAAGTTATCCAAAATAGGCTTTTTACCAGTCCATAATTCATGTGGAGTTTTGTTAATAATTTTTGTAGAAACTAAATTTAATAAATACACTGCGGTAACAATAGCTTCCTCCCAAAATTTTGATCCAAGTGAAGAATGATTTAACATGGATCTAACCATATCTAATAATGTTCTATTGCGGCGTTCAGCAACGCCATTTTGTTGTGGTGTATAACTCATAGTGGTTTGATGTATAATTCCATTATCTTTAAAAAATTCACCAAATAAATTTGATATATATTCACCACTCCAATCAGACCTAAACATTTTAATGTCTTTTCGTAATTGTTTTTCAACTTCTTTTTTATATTCTTGAAAATTTTCAAATACTTCAAATTTTTTACGCATTAAATATAAATAACCATATCTAGAGTAATCATCAATAAATGTTACAAAATACTCCATGCCTCTATGTGTTTTAATATTTAATGGTCCACAAACATCTGAATGTATTATAGCTAATAATTCACTTGCTCTTTGTCCTTTTAGGGAAAGGTAATCTAGTCATTTTTCAGGATAAATATGTTTCACAAATAGAAAAATCTATATTTATTTTGGGAATTAATTCCATATTTATCATCCTTTTCATTTTATTTTTGTTTATATGTCCTAATCTTAAATGCTAAATATAAGGATCATTAACATACAAAGAAGAATCAATATAAGCAGAATAACTAGCAAATGCATTATTGTTAACACTAGAAACAACGTTCAAGCGATACAAACCATCAACCTTACTACCCCACATAAGAATCCTACCATGTCTTCCAACAGACACTATTCCAGAATGGAAGTGCACCTCAAAACCCTTTTCATCCAAACAAGAGACTGAGATAAGGTTGCGCCTCATGGTGGGTGAATATAATACGTCAATCAAGTAGAGGTTTTTTTGCCCAAGTATCATGATCTTTATAGTTCCAATACCAATAACATCACAGTAATTGTTATTTCCCATGTATATTCGATGATCACCGGTTTTCACCTCTCATAACTCCACAAAAGACTCTCTAGTCTTTGCCACATGGGGAGAAAAAATATAATCCACCCACCACGCTCCAATGTCAGAATCAGCCAAAAGAGATTTAGTAACAACACACAATATCTTTGGAGCTTTCAGAATAAGGTTTCTTCTTATTTTTATTCACATGACAATTAACTTGATAATGTCCAAGGTTTCCACAATTAAAACAGACTCATTTGTTCTATTTGTTATAACCACTATTATTATTGCCACTAGTTTTAAAATTTTTACCTTTTCCTTTAAAATTCTTAGAAAATAATTTCTTTCCAAAATTTGAAGCATTTGAGGAAAAAGTAAAGAACTTTTTCTTTTCAAATTGTGATGGCTCAGATGGACCAGCAGAGTGTAGACGTCCCCGAACACCCCGGGAGGGAAATCCCCCCGTTCTGTTCGTTTGGGCTCACTACAGTTCATACTCAAATTGTCACGATTCTTAATCTGAACCAAAGAGTCCAAATCTGGCAAATCGTTTTGAAAAACAGATTTTATATAAAGAAGTGCCAAACATGGGCTGCTTTGCCAGAGATAGAGTTGTCACCTAAATATTTTATTTTGGGGAATTTAGGAAACCCTGACTCGTTTGCCTAAGGCCACGTGTCCGTCATCATTAAAGTTGCCTCGGTTCGGGAACTTGGGTACGATTGGGGAAGGTCAGCTATGAGCACCCCCGCTCGCCCGATCAAAGATCGGCCTCTACTAACCATGATATTGAGTTTTGAAAACATTATGTGTTCTTATTTCGGTTATTAGCTTAGATTTACTATGTGATGCGCACAGCAAACAAGTATAGACTAAGTTTCCTAAATTGGAACAAAACATCGCATATCCGTTTGTTTGAAAACAGTTTGAGGTTTGCTACTCGCAAGTAGGCTAAAGTACGGATTTCAATGAATTTGTCCCAACTCAAGCAACCCAACCTCACCCACAAGCATTCAAGCAGTTAATCAACTAAGCAGTTAGCCTCATGGCAAGCATGCTTTCATGTTAACACTCACATACATACAAGATGCTAAAGCATAAACACTCACCGAGTACTCCGAGCCAAAACAGAAACTAGTTAGTAATCATATGCATGATCCTAGTTCATGTTAAGGTGGCTAATGCAACACATGCAAGAATGCAGCTAATATAGGCTCGGTTATTCTAAGATGGCATATCATGATATTACAGCTAACACGTATTCAACTTGGAATTGAAATACAATGCAGGTAGTATGATGCGCTGAGCCCGGTGCATGCAAGACGGATGAATGAATGCACACATGCATAGCATAAGGATGCTAAATGAAATATGCCCTAGAGTTTTGAAACGTTATGTGTTCTTATTAAGGTTAATTAGCTAATCTTACTATGTGATACGCATAACACACAAGTATAGACTAGATCGCCTAATTTGAAACAAAGCATCGCATATCCGTTTTGTCTTGAAAAATGGTTTGAAGTTTGCTACTCGTAAGTAGGCTAAAACACGGGTTTCAATGAATTATTCCAATTCAAACAACTTAACCTTCACCCACAGGCATTCAGGGAGTTATATCACATAAGCAGTTAGCCTCATGGCAAGCATGCTTTCATGTTAACACTCACATACATGCAAGATGCTAAAGCATAAACGCTTACAGTGTACTCCAAGCCAAAACAAGGAACATGTTAGTAATAAAATATATGATCCAAGTCCATGTTAAGATGACTAATGCAACACATACGAAATGCGATTAGAAAAGGCTCGACTAATTTAGGATGGCATATGATATGCGGCAATTTGATACACGTATTCAAGTTAAAATTGAAATACTATACAGTTAGTATGATGCGCCGAGCCCGATGCATGCAATACAAATGAATGAATGCAAACATGCGCAACATAAGGTATGCCAAGTCAAATATGCCCTAAAACTAACCATCATAAGCGGTTAAATAAAAGGGAGAAAGAAGTGGGGGTTGGAAGACATGCATCACACACACGCATGCTTATTACATAATTTTCCCTCTCTCGGAGGGACCAAAAGAATAATACAAATTAATCAACTAACAAGCTAATTAAATAATTACAAAACACTTAACTAATTAACAAATCAATTAAGCTACCAAAAACAGTAAAAAGGCCTCGGGAAGAGGGATGAATGCATGCATGTTCGGCTTCGCCCGGAAATCCATCGCCATGCCACAGTTGCCTCTGTTTGCACTGCTCTGCTCTTCTGAAAATTGTGCAAGTCTCAATGATGCTTCTGAAATGCTCCCTGAGTGCTGTGGGAGATCACCGGCTAAAAGGCAAGGCCACCGGCCATGGGAAACTGGTCATCGACCATGTATGAGGCTCTCGGCCAAATATGGATAGCCGGTCGGCAATAGAGATGGTCGACCAACCATTTATTCCTGCAGAATCCTGATTGACAACAGTAGAGGGCAGACAAGGCAAGGCAATGCATTTTCAAAGCAGCAGAGGACAGACAAGGCATGGCAATGCATTTTCAAGCAAATGTTTGCACCACCAACCTCCCCATCATGTTATGGACTTAAGGGAGTTTGGTACTCAACCCTCAGGCCATCAATCACGCATTTCAATGCATGATGGCCCAAGAGTCTAGTGTGCAATTTCAATGTGGAATGAAATGCACATAAACACATAAAGGCCTCCAACCTCTATCATAATCAATTCAAGAGGCAAGAGATGCATGCAATGTTATGCAACCTAAACATGCAAACAAACTAACGCAAAATGCGTATGCTAGCAAGCAATATGCAATAGGCATATAACCTAAATATGCAAACGTGCAACCTACCATACCCAATGCTATGGACTATATGGCACACACAATGCTATATGAACTATGGCATGCTCAATGCAACTAACCACCTAGCATACACAATGCAAGGAGTGACATGGCATACACAATGCTAACAACATAACATGCATAACACATTGTCACATGGCATACAAGCACAACTCTCAATAGCACTTAAAGCATGGAAAACATAGGAGTATGACACAAGTATAAGCTCTGAAATATGATGTATAATGGCCCCAAAACATGAAAACGCCTCAGTATATGCATGCGATGGACCTCAAAACTCAAAGCTAAGCATGGATGTTGAACTACAAGCATGCAAAAAAAGCATCATTCGACCATGAGACTCAAAAACAGGGCTAAGGCAGTCCAAAATATGCACAAAATCAGTTTAAGGCATGGCCAAAAAGTGCTAAAATCAATGGTCAACAAAGCATGTAAAGTAAGCTAGTTGTGATGCCCCTGTTCTGTAGTATGCTAATTGGTCCTTAATTTGAGTATGATTATGTGTTTAGCATGATTTTATGTGCCATTATATGAATATATGTGATTTTGAAGTTTTATCTGTTCGCCGTAGGATTATCTGTTTGAATAATCTGCTTTGGAAATTAAATTGAGGGCCTTATCGGCCACAGAACCCGAAATTGATTACGCCATTGTGATTAGCGTAATTTTTAGAGCCTACGGTGAAATTTAATTGAAAATTTATTCGGATCAGATTAAATTGATGAATTAGAACCCAACTACTTTATTACTATTATATTGGCTTTAGTGGGTTTTGTTGTAAAGGCTTTATACACTCGAACTCCCTCTTAATTCTCACTTTGGCTGATATACATCCTAAGAAGAGGAGAGGGTCGACCATTAGAGTGAGAGAAGGGAGAAAAAATCTGTGTTTGATCTTAAAGGCTTGGAATTTGAAGTCCAACTCTAAATTGGACCATAGATTAAAGGAATTGGGCTTCTAGGTAAGCCATTGACTCTTGAATTCATAAATTGAACTTGTGATCTTGTAAGCTCAAAGTTTAATTATGATCAAGAGCATGATTTAAATTGGTTTTGGTGAGAGGTGGTCATGCATGCATAGAATTGCTTCTAAATTGCCATAAGTTGCATAATCTAGCATGTATCATGTCAATTAAGCAAGATTTGAAGTTTGATCATGCATGCAAGCTTGGTTTTGTTGAGCTTTATGAGAATAGGCACTACTTGCATCTTTTGAAATGGGATTGGAGCTAAAAGATTGCATGCATGTTTGATTAATGAACTTATATGAGATTTGAAAGCTTGAACCATGAGTTTGCAAGAATGTTGATCTATTTTGAAGAAATGTGACCATGATTTTGAGTATTTAGCCTTCTAATACTTGTATACTCATGGTATGTAATATGTTTCCCTGTTTGGAAACCAAGATTTTGAGTTTGGAACCTTTGGAAGCCGTTTGGAACTCAAGAGCACGATTTTGGGTTTTCCAGAATTTTGAGGTTCGCTCGAGCGGGATAACCTCCGCTCGAGCGTAATTTTCATGCTCCCAGCACTTTTTGCAGAGTTGGATTTCCGCTCGAGCGGGATATTTCATGCTCGAGCGGAGAGCTTTTGTAGACAGGCCTTCCGCTCGAGCTCCCTAATTCACGCTCGAGCGTAATTTTGAGGTAACCAGTACTTTTGCAGGCCTCTTGGGTCCACTCGAGCGGGGAAGTCCACGCTCGAGCGGGGACCCTGTTTTCTGAAATTTTGTTCATGCGTTCTGTGTTTCATTTTCCGTTCTCTTTCACTCGTAAGCACTCTTAGGCATATGTTAAGCATTGTAAGTGAGTTAATGAGATAAGAATAAAGCCTAAAGAGGAATATGTGAATTAAGGGACGGATTGAATTGTTAATGACCATTTTGTGTTCATGGAATGTGCAGGGTCAAGCTCCAGGGCGAATCTACAAGCCGATCACTGTGAGTAATATCAATATTTGAAAGCTTGTCAATGTCCAATTGTTTATTTCCCTTATAAACTTTATGAGTTGCTAATTGGGATTGTGGACAAAAGTTTGACATGATAGAAATGAATGGACCGAAGGTCATTTTGATAGAAATAAATGGACCGAAGGTCGTTTTCATAGAAATGAATGGACCGAAGGACATTTTGACATGAAT